TGTTTATGCGCAGGCGGATTGATAAGAAAGCAAATATATTCAAATGTCTCCCGTTTTTCACCTATAAGTCCCACCAATATGTATATCTTGTTTCAGAGATCCTGGAGAGGTGTTGACGCTTTCAGCGTCACCATCTGAGCCGTGGATATTCGCGCCAATCACGGTGATTATCCAACAGATGTCGATGAAGAAACCACCACCTACACCTCTACAAAAAGCCGAGACTAACACTACATTTTTCTTAGAGGTAAACTTTGCTTTTCATGAGACAAACTTACAAAAAAGGATGATATGGAAGCTAAAGGATAAATAAAGGAATTTCATACCTACCATATCTTACCATCCTTTGACCGGTTTGTCTACATATTTGTAATCTTTCGACACACCTTCTCCAGATACGGTATAGAGGAGGAGAGGCGAAACATAATTAAGCTTGACCTGTGATAGCCCTCAATTTTCGATTTCGATAGACTTATCTCTTGTGAATTGCACAATACATTTTTTTAGACCCTCGTTCCATTCCTCTTCGCTGGACTTGGCCTTATTTTTGCTGGACTTTTGTTGGAAGATGCGGAAACGTGGACATTTTTTACGGAATTGCCAGACGCTGTCACTCTTGTGCCAACTCTTGTTGGTCTTAAGGGAAATTTGGAGATGACCTTAGCTTCAAGGCTATCTACATTGGTAATGCTTACTTAGTTAGTGCTATGCGGCTCATAGATGAAGGTTTTTTTGCAGGCAAATCTTGGTTTTATGGATACCAACAAGCAGAAGTGGAAAGTCGCTTCATCAAACATGGCATTAATCCAAGCCCAAGCAATAGTGATATCCTCAGTAGCTGTAATTCCTGCAATTTTTCTCGGAGAAAAGCCGGTAGTTTTCAAGGTCCTATGACTAGATATTTTGCAGATCAGATCAGGCTTAATGAAGATTTTTGGGCTAAATTTGTTTATTTCCCCTGCATAAAATATTATAATTCGTTTCAGTTTGCTCTTGCTGACTTCTTTTGCATATTACTATCCGCCGTTGCGACAGCTTCGCTCGCTTCATTATTATTAGGAATTCTCATGATTGGTGTGGTTATCATGGCGAAAAAGTTCAAGGTATGTCCTTTCCCAAAAACAGTATGTAAGAAGTATATACGGTATGCCTACCGTAGTGCC